TTATAGGCTAACTTCAGAGAATTAAGAAGGAAAGATTTGGAAAAAGACCCCGTACACCATAGAACATAGTAATTTGCCACCTTCTCTCTTGTAACCATTAGTTTGAATAGTAGAGCTCTGAGGGTTTGGTTCCAGATATAACCTAATCAAGAGTGCATTTTCATTTGAGTGTGTGCACTTTGTCTACATGTGTAATATATTTACCATAGTTTGGGTTTCTAGTTTTTGCGCCAAATAAGTAGAGTACTTAAACCATACCATAGTTTATTGCATTTCGCTGTAAATCTGCGGATTTTTTATTTGAAAGATGTCTACTATATACCATATTGAAAGTCAACGGGCATAGCAGTCAACAGAAGTTTGACATTATTTATGCTATGCTAGTCTCTCTTCTGTCGCATATGGAAGGACTTCAACATTATCTATACTTTTCTAATGAAAATCTTTCACATCTTGAGTTTGTAATTTAAAATGGCATGCCAAATATGTCTCAAATTAGTTAGCTGTCTGTTTCAGCTTCAGTTTGTCCTACGGATCAGCAGATTGAAAACCACCACCAGTGCCATAGACCTGCCTGGCAGGGAGCAGTTAGAATTAGATTAATGAACAAATTAAAAGTTGGGAATGACATGAGGGCTAATTTGCAGAAATGGAGGAGGAAATGGGATTCATGCTATTTGCTTAAGAGAAAGTACACACAGTGGCAGTAGAGCCTTTAAAAGTAATTTAAAAATAAATAGGCTCGCTTAAGTATTACACACACACACACACACACACACACACACACACACACACACACACGCGCGCGCGCGCGCGCTTTTCTCTTCTTACAGTTCTCATCTCTATGGAGTCATTCTGATCCCTACGCTTTGGTTGATCACAGAACTTGATCAGCTGAAAAATAGAATTGATGGAGTCTGCTTGTGGAACTTATCTTTTACATTCTGGTTTCTGCCTTAACTCTGGAGAGGGAAGAGGGTTGGGCAGGCTGATATATGTGTAGTACCAGCACCCAGAAAACTGAGGCAGAAGAACAAACTCACTCAAGGGCTTCCCCTGCCCCCCCATCTTTCCCCAGACCTGTTGATTAAACAGATTTAAGAGTAACCCTTTACCACTAGAATCAGGTTACAGAGCTTTAAGTATGTTCATATCAGATGCCCTAGAATTGGAGTCACAGGCAGCTGTGAGCCAGTCTGAGAGCTGGGAATTGAATCCAGGTCCTCATGAAGTGTGTATAGTCAGTGCTCTAACCACTGAACCACCTTTTAAAGTTCTATTCATTACTGTTTTGTGAGATTCTCTGGGAATTCCTTTGAGAATTAATGGCCAGGTAATTTCATATTAGTTTATAAGGAATTAAATAATACCCTAATAAACATCTAGAATTTAATTTTATTTCACTTAGTTATTTGTCCTCCAGATTCAACCACATTGCTGCAACTAAGAGGGTGTTTTTTTTTAGTTTGTTTGTTTGTAATTAATTTGTTTGTATTTTATGTACTATGGTGTTTTATCTGCCCATATGTCTGTGTGAGGGTGTTAGATTCCCTGGAACTGGAGCTTCAGACAGTTGTGAGCTGCCATGTGGTTGCTGGGAATTGAACCTAGGTTTTCTAGAAGAGCAGTCGGTGCTTTTAAAGTTTGAACCATCTTTCCAGTCCAAGATAGTGTCTTTAATTTTTGTGTAGATTTTGCCTCTGTGCGTGTGTGTGCGTGTGCTGCTGTGGGAGGGCCTGTGTGTGTCAGACAGTTTTTGGTTTTGTTTCTTTTTTTCTGAGAAAACAGTTTTTCAGTGTCACTCTGGCTGTCCTGGAACTCACTCTGTAGAACAGGCTGTATTGAACTTACAGAGATCCCCCTGCCTCTGCCTCTTCAGTGCTAGAATTAAAGGTGTGCGCCCCACTGCCCATTGCTGGAGTTTTAGTTCATTGAGTAGATGATATTTTGTTATGTTTTTCAATTGGAATTCAGAACAACAGGAACATAGTTATGACACAGGGACACAGGGGGCAGGTTTTGTGTGGTGGGTTTGCTAATCCTGCTAAAACTTACAGAGATTGTGAATTCTTCAGATCCATCTTTAGTAATCTGAGTTCACTACTTAATACAGCCTGCCTTAGTTTATCCACCATTCACACTCGTACAGTCTCTTTCAGTAGGAAACTACAGCTGTGGGCTTTCAGTGTCGGGCGTGTGAGGACAGTCATGGGTGAAGACAGCTGGATCATGGACCTGGACTTTGTGACTTCATATTTTCATTCTTTTGCTACCGAAGAAAGATTAAGCAGGGACATTTCAAAGGAGCAGCTGGCACTACCCCCAGTCAGTAGTGGTGTGAGTCACTGTACTTCTTTGGAGTCGGTAGATCTTTCACATGTACATGGCAGAGGTCCAGTCTTCCAGACCAGGCCAGAAGTGGGCAAATGTGAGTTGGATGCATGCCAAATCTACATACCATCCTAGGTTCTCACCCTGTGCTCCAGCCCTCCTCCTTTCTGTGGAACGGTTGGACAGTGGATCATTTCTGGATGGAGGTTGAGCAACTTTTAACCAAAGCAGCTGGGTCACACTGTGAGTGGTGACCCTGTTGTCTGTAGAGATGCCTGTGTTGCTGCTGACTTAGGGCCTAGGGCCTCCTCCTTTGGTGTCACATGGTATGGTGGGGCCAGTATGTGACTGATGACATTAGTAACATGCCGTAACTTCTGGAAAGAAATCAAGGGGTTTTGTTTGTTTGTTTAGGTTTACTTTTCATTTGTTGGGGTGAAGTGTGTTTCTGTGTTATAAATCAGGAAGCTTAAAACCCAGTAGAAAGTATTTTCTTTCTCTATAGGTGAGAATGTTGGGGTCTTACTTAGTTTAGTGGGGTTTTGATTGTTAGTTTTTTAATCTAAAGACAGATAGATTTTGTTCCATTTTTTATTGTTTTTTCGTTTTGTTTTGTTTTTACGAGACAGGGTTTCTCTGTATTGTTTCGGAGGCTATCGGTTTAGCCCGGTCTCGAACTCACAGAGATCCGCTTGCCTCTGCTTCCCGAGTGCTGGGATTAAAGGCGTGCGCCACCACCGCCCGGCTTTTTATTGTTTTTTGAAACCAATGGAGAAGTCTTTTGAGTTCTAGAGGACTGAGTAGACAATTTCAATACAAACTTCCAAGTTCCTTACTCTACAGATATCTGTGTGTCTGTGAATATTCGAGTATTCGTTATCCCTGTCAATAATCAGAATTCAGCTCTATGTTGAAACTTGAGCGCAGTTGAGGGCTGTCCATAGGCTCTGTAGAGTACAAACCAGGACTCCATGGGGCTATTCCTGATGCCAGCATTTCTAACAGAATCATTCAGAGTAGTGTAATATTTGGGGTGTTCTTATAATAACTTAAATGAAAGGTGAGTACTGTCTGCCAAAAAAATTTGCTTCATTTCTGAAGTATTTTTAGCATTTAGAAACCGCATTACCCTTGTTTTTTTTTTTGCTCATTGATGTACAGGGTCCTTATACTGTGGAGACATTGGACAGTTCAAGTGTTTTCAAAGTAGAGAATGAGCTCTTGTGAGTGACATAAGAGTTCTGATGTAATCAGTAAATCTTGAAGTCAAGTAGATGTGACCAGAATTCTTTTCTTCAGTGTCATATAATGGAGTAAACATTTGGGCTCCGTTGGCTTAACTCAGCGGCAATTTTGAAATGCAGCAACTTAGACTCCCAGCTTGGTCTGTGATGTTAAAAAGTATGTTTACTTTGCCCTATAGCAGAATGCCAACATCATTGAGTAATAGTGAAATGTCTTACAAACAAAAACTACATTCATTCACTTGGTCTTTCAATCTTGTTTTTATGCACTGTTTTTGGGCAACTTAATATTAATGTTCTGTGGGTCACAGAAGAAAATGATGGGAGGCCACTGTTGGGTTTTCTGGTTTTGTCTTTGCCAGAAACTAAACTGTTAGAGGGCTGGCCGGCCTATCCCCATTTCCCTGTTGTCTCTTTTCCTGCACTTACGGCTCATGGCTCTCAGTCTGTCTTTGTGTTTATTGCATTCTGAACCCCAGAATCATGCTCACTATTGTGAGGACATTTTGCTCAACCTTTAATTTGTTCTGGAATGCACTCTGTTTGCTTGGAAGTTAATGTTAATTACCAGGATTATCTTTCTCCTTAATGTTATAGTCTCCAATTTTGAAAAAGGAAATAACCATGGCTTACTAATATGTCCCCTTCAATTTCTTATGTCTTCCAAATGTCAGATGCCATATTAAATTTTTTAAAAATATAATTATATTACCAAGTCTTATTTGTGCACAGCATGCCTTAAATACTGGGAACTGAATTTTAAGCAGAAATGCGTGTTTCATTGAATTCTGACTTTGTATCCCCTGTGGTATTTCAAACATAGCTACAGTTGAGTATTGTCTACCATTGCTACTTGCAGACAGGTGAGGAGGCTGTGTTCTTGTACTAATTACCAGGAATGGGACCAGAAGTAGAAATCCTTCCATCGTTTTTTGCCAGTGACCCACAGAAGAACATGCAGTTCAGCTTACTGCAAATGAGCAGCTTGAGAACTGTATGCCTGAGACAGCAATGGGGGAGCACAAGCATTGTTATGTCAGAGTCCAGTCATCTTTAGCTAAGACTGAACATTTTGTGTCTCACATAGTAATTGTTCTTCTTCATCTGATTATCCCATTTAATTTGCACTTCGTGTTCAAGGGCTTCAGTAGTGAATTTTATTTTAAGTTAGAAGTGCTGCAGGGGTGCTCCAGAAAAGGGGGAGAAATAGAAAAAAATTTTAATCTACATTTCTATGAAAACTAAGGGCCTTGTTTCTGTACCTCACATACTTATTGGTTCTATCACATGTGGCAGAATTGCTAATGATTATTAATTTTGAGTTATTTTTATCAGACTCTATAACAGTACAATATACTTGTATTTACTAATGTTGAATGAGTTTTCCTCTAATTTTTTGTACATTTTCCCCCCTTTTCCACCAAGGCCTTATCTCTTTGGAGCGGGGTGTTTTTCCATAAAAGCTCCATGGTGAGTTCCCGTTCAGTCCCGCATGCCTAATTCATTTGCCGTACTCTCAAAAAGTAACTGTTTGTAGTTTGTTTTCAGTTGCATGGCCTGATCACCGATAGATGCACCAAGTTTCTCGACAAGTAGTCATGAATGTTGATATTTAAACATTTAAAAAGTAGTTACTTTCATTTTACTTGAGTCCTTCAAAACATTTTTTTTCTACAAAAACCATATTTGTTTTGTTTTTCATGTTTTTAAACATGACAAAAGGGTCTCTCACCTTGCTGGTGAATAGTATAAGGAGGTCTAACCCCAAGTAGAGTGCTTTGAATATGAAGTTCCTTATTTATTATGCTTAATACTAGAGAATAGAAGTTTCTTTTAAATACAAATACATCAGGGGCAAAGTTGCAGTGTGTTTTATTTGGTCCCAAAAGGACTGTGTTGAACTCTGTTTTGAATAGATTAGGTATTTAAGGAGCTGCAAATAAGGTCAAGGAATGCATATTTCTGATAAAACCCCATGACATCCTGTTGAACCGGATCAGTGTAAGGTGTGATAACCACAGAAAAGACTGTTTCATATCTTCACTTACAGTGTCAATCAGAACGTGTTAAGGGTCTGATACAAAATGCTTTAAGCTGCCTTGCTCTTACATACCAGCTCCTATTTTAACTGATCCCAGATACTCAGATACCGTAGTCTTCTGTTTCCTTTTTTCCCTATATATGTGGTGAGATCAGCATTAGCAACTGTTCTGTGGGTTCATTGTGAGGGCTAACTGTGCTTGTAATGTATAAATGCATTGTAGTACATGGTGACAGTGGTACACAGTAGCCACTCACTGAATAGTAGTAACTGCTGTGGACCGCCCCTTCCAGTGCTGGGGTGGACACCCTATCTGAAAAGATACTTCTTAAAATTAGACATGTGCTTTGCCTCCGGACAGGGTCTCATTACGTAGACCTGGCTAGTGTAGAATTGCTATCTAGACCAGATCTGTCTCCAACTTGCAGTGTCCTCTTGCCTCAGCTCCCTGAGTGCTATGACTTGAGACATGTGCCAACATGCCAAGCTGTTTATAGTTCTTAAGAACACATGAGGAAAAGGAAGTTTTGAGAAATGTAAGATATTTATGAACTTTGTTAAATTAGAATGTTTAAGTTTGTCACATTTTTCTTGTCCTCATAACTGCTGCTAAGACTTGTTCCTTGTGTCCTGTTATATTTTGAACAGTGTTTTATCTTGGCATGTGTTACATGCATGGAATTGTAGCACCTGGAGGCAGACAATAGGACAGCAAGTTAAGTCCAGCTTAGGACATGTAATAAGATTCTGTCTTCAAAACTAACCAGTCTTTTATAGTGAGCTATTGTTTCACGGAACATTTTCAGAGTTCCTGTGACCTAGGAATGGAAGTTTTCATTATCAAGGCCTAGGTAATAGAAAGTGAATCTCTATCAAATATCTACCTTTATAGTACAGTGCTAGATAAAACTTTTTTAAAACAAATTTGGAATATACAGAGACAAATCCTCTGAAAGTTTCTTTTTGTAAATCAGTTTTCTTCTCAAAACTAGTAAGATACTCTGCTGGCTTAGGGGGAGCAGGGCATTTTACATGCCAAATCCAAAATATGATTAAATGTCTTTGCGTACTAAATGTGGAAATAAATTCCATTTGAGGATAAATTCCTCATTCTGAGTACAAAGAAAAGAGTTTTTGCATGTTAATAAAGATTGAAGTTTTGACATGCAACTAAAGATGGACTTACAAATGTTGTATGTTAAATAAGAAAAGTCCATTCCCCCAACAGCTTATGTGTTCCTCACATTTAAGCAAAAGCACTTGTCAACCAGAAATGATTTGAGGTTGAAACAAGATTAAAAGAGCCAGATTAAAGAAAAGGATCTATGAAATATAGTCGACTTCTAAATCACTGCCTGTCTTCCAGAAGACTGCTTTGTGGTTTGTTTGATGCCATCGTTAGCTCACAAGAAACTCGTTTTTAGTCACTTACACTAGACTGAAGGTCCTCCTTTTAAATGCGCTACATTACCAGGGTGCATGTTTTTTCCATTAAGATCTTAATGAAACCTCAAATTAAGGCAGCAAAATGAATATAGATTTGACAAGTTCTTCCATGTTGTTTATGAGAGCCTCTTTGTTTCCGCAGCATTTGCTGTTTTTCCATGATACTTAACATTCAACTTGAGAATGTTTTTATTTACCGCTCTAAAATAAAACATCATGCTAAATAAGTATGTTTATAGTGCTTCCAGTTAAGGCAATACATATATATTAGGTGAGCATGAATTCTTTTTAGCTTCTTTTAAAATGTAAATTTCTTACAATTTTCAAAAATTAGTTTTGGGTTACAACATTTGTACTTAGTTAAGGTTTTTTTGCTTTTGATATGTCACAGTTCATATTAATTCTTTATTCTTCAGTAAAGAACTTTAAGTCTTTAAATTAATGCAGTTTCAGATGAGAACATTTAAAACAGCATTTACCCCCTTTGATATCATAGCAGGCTGGGGATGAAGTGGTATAGGCTATCTTTGACAGTAGTACTCAATTTAGGCATTTCCAGTACTTTCCATGTTGTATGTTTGTTGTTTTGAGAGGCCATTGAAATTTTTGTTGTTGATTTGTTGAGACAAAATCCATCCCATATTGTAGCCTATGCTGGCCTGGAAATTACTGTGTAGCCCAGACTGGTAAAGTTTGGAAAGTCCTTCTGCCTCAACCTATGGGGACACTTCCTGTGGAATTTAAATTTTCACATTGACAATACTGTGTTAATGTGATGTGGTACTGGGTTTTACCTTCTATTTCTAAAGAGATTTCCAAAAGTTGTATGCATGTATAGCAGACAGTCATGCTTATGTGTCCAGGAAAATAGCCCTTATTCTTAAATTGCCTCTGTGTTACTTACAGTTACCTTTGAAAAACAAGTAAAATATAAGTATGGAATTATAGTCTGTGGTTTTTACTAAATGGTCCCTGTTCTGAGACTATTTGAAAATTTCACGGTTTCATCTTTAAGGTTATGTGTGTAGATGAGATCTGTTTTTTACCTGTTGTGTTTTCTTTTAAACCTTTAAGAATAATTTATAATACCATAGTATAAGTAAGTTTGCATGGGTTATCAATGTTTTTAATTGTCTAAGCAGTTCTATTATAGCCTCTCCAGTCTATTTTTAGGGGAAAAATTAGAGAATGAGAGAAAATTTCTAAATTCTTTTGAAAAGCTTCATTCCACAGAAACTAACAAATTTCATAAGGAAAACTGATTTTCAGTCACTTTCTAGTCATTGAAATTCTTAATGTTTGTTTCTACTCAAACTCAAATATTGAGCATTTTCTTCCGTCTTTGTAAAGGAAAGAAATGGTGCTTCTGTCTCAGCTCCTGTCAAGCTGCTTCCCTCTCTCAGCACCCTGGGCTACCTGCTGAGTGTGGTACCCCAGGCTTCAGCTTCTGTCCCTCCCTGGGGTGCACAGTTATCTGGGTGGAAATCACTGTCCTTTATTCCTAAAGCAGGTGTCTCTAGAGGGAAGGCTGTTTTTGTCTGTTTCTTTCTTTCTTGTTTTCATTCAAATGTAAAGCAGGCTAGAGAAAACCAGTGGTAATCTAGACAGTGATGGAAGGTTTTAAGACTTTCCATACATCTGGGAAATGATGTGATATTTGCTGAGCTGGCAGCGAGAATAGAGCCCATTCTTAAGGGTTTTCTCAGAGGAAGTGACAGAATTGAACTCCCTCCTTTTATTTACCACGGTGTTTGTGTTTGTGTGTTGTTTTCCTCTTGGGTTCCTTAGGAAGGGCTTATTGCATGTAGTATTTTAAGACTTATTTTGCCCTGATTGGCAAATGTTGTGTTCATTTCGTTTTTCTTTTATGTTTTTCTGAAAAGTTAAAGCAAATGCTTGATGTAGAAAAGAGACAGAAAGTATCAGTAGGAAGGCATCTGAGCGATTGTCTAGGGGACTGCTGTGTTCTGCTCTGTGTCTCTATACTGTCAGTATGCATGCTGTGTTCTCCTGTATGATTCTTTAATTCCCACTCACTGGTGAATCCATATAATCAATTCAGTTAAATTCTGTACAACAATTAAGATTATTTTAATCAGTGTATTATCAATATAATAAGTGCATAGGGTTAAGTAAATAAAGTGAAGTCATTGCACAAACAGAGGAGACCTTTTTTGGTTGGCCAGTGTTCTCTTTTGGGACTCGTTGAGACCCCTTCTGAGGAGAATGGTGTTGAGGGCAAGCAAAAAATGAGATTAATGTTACAGTCTTCTACTCTGGGTGGTTGTAGAAAGGTTCATGTGGTGCCTGTTGCATGCACACATAAGAAGAAACTGTTTGGTCCTACTAGGCATTCTTGCACATATATTTATATATATTTTTTTGTTTTAATTAAGATTAGGAGCAAATGGTGCCAGAATTAAAAATTCTAACTTTGAGTAGAACACATTAAAAAATATATTTCTAAGTAGCATTCTTTTTTAAATTACATTATCTCTTTTATAATATATAAAATATAAAACATATAAAATATGCGTGCACATATTTTTATGTTTCTGTTTTGCTTAAATGACAAAGTGATGCCTGGTGGAGACTGATGTTGGAAATAACTTGATGCGAACTAGCTCCCCCAAATATGCTTCCCTCCCTGTTCAGCACTGCGGCATGTGAGGAGCACAGATTAAAAAAAAGTCTTTATTCAAATTGACTTCATAACTCACGAGATTTGCTGATTTCCTATCAATCACTGGATAAAGGATAAATGATGAAATATAGGAATAAAGTAATAATTTCATAAATCTAACACAATTTTACCATAAAATATAACACATTTGAGTTTGTGTGCTAGTTTTCAAAATGGAATAATGTGAAGCCTATAGAATAAGTATAATGAAATTTAGCTGTTACTAATTCAGGCTTAATGAAATGTAAGTTGATGAATCTATAGAATGTTATCAAAGTATACATTGATGCCCTTTCATTTTTCACACTTTTCATGCTTCTGTTAGAAAGCTGGTCTTTTGTCCCAGTATTATTTTTGAGTCTGTTTAAGTACTTTAGAGGAACCATATTTTGTCTGTTGAAATGGGCAAGGCCACTTGTTATTACGTGCTTAAGTTAATACCAAACCACAACAAAAATCTCATCTGATAATTTGGCAATTTGAACCTGTCTCTGTGAAGCTTGCTTATACATTGTAGTGCCACTGGCTCCTGATAGTGTAGTTCCACAGCTGCAAACACTTCTCAAAGTAACTCTTTAGCAGAGGCTATGGAGGTAGTGTAAGCAAGAGGGCCAGAATTCAGATTCCCAGCACCCAAATAAAAAGTAATGCCTGGTATCAAATGTCTGTAATTCCAGCCTGGAGAGGAGGGCAGGGTGAGAGGTGAGGCAGACAGGTGGATCCCCAGATCTTGCTGACCAACCAGTCAGTAGAGAGCTGTCTCCAAAGTAACAATAATAATGATGACCACGACATCATAACAACAGCGATGTAGAGAGCAGTAGAAGATGACACCTGACTTTGGCCTCAGGTGTCCACACACATGGACATAGAAGTGCACACACACCTTTACACACACAAGTAACAGTAAACACTCCGCAGTGGTTTCTCTCTCCTTCCCCATAGCCCTCGAGACCCTAAGGGCTACAGTGGCCAAGGGCAGGTCACAGATGGCCGTCACAGAAGTTTGTCAGCTCAGGGTTAGTCAGTCAGCGCTGGAGTGAGAAGTGTTGAAGGGCAGCACACACAAGGGAACGCACAGCCAGATCATCAGTTGTGGCTTTAAGTGACCAAGATATCGGGAGGGCACACACGTGCAGTACTGGATGCTGTTGCTGTTCTGGTGGGTCACTGTGCAGAACAGCTGCCAGAGAGGAAAGTGTGGGACCACAGCCACGACATCACATAAACCACTCATCAGAGTGATGTGATGCTTTGCTCTTCTCTGATTCTGCCCACAATTGGTTTTGACATTTTCTATGTGTATGTGATTTAGTGGGAACATTGTGTTCCTTAAGTATTAATGAGTGGTTGTAAGAAGTGGACTTTTTGTACACTACAGTGTGTACTAACAGATTCGGTTCAAAGTGGAAGTTTAGCTGAACCGATTAGGGCAGCATCTCTCTCTCTCTCTCTCTCTCTCTCTCTCTCTCTCTCTCTCTCTCTCTCTCTCTCTCTCTCTCTCTCTCTCTCTCTCTCTCTGTCTCTCTCTCTCTCTCTCTGTCTCTCTCTGTCTCTCTCTCTCTCAAAAGTGTCAACACAGAAATCTTGGGAAATTGGATGGAGAGTGTTTCAGGGACAGGAAAAGTGAGGTTACTAAAGTATGATCTGAAAAATAGGTTAGGCTTGTGAGCTGTAGATGGAATGTGTGTCATATTATGAAATGTGAAGGCCCCGCCCCCAAGAGCCTGGCTTGCTTTCTTTAAAGTAGTAGATTTTCAGCCTTGAATACACTGTATAATCTGCTAGGGACAGGGAGGAGCCTCAGAAAATTTGCACAGATTGTTGCAAACTTTTGCTTTATGCCATCTGGGATGGGCCTGGTTAGTATTTGCTCAAACGTCTGAGAAGTTCTCAGTGGTTCTGTTATCTGGCGACCACACTGTGAGAACCAATACAGTCCCCAACCCTCAACAGTAGGCATTGAGCTCCAAGTGGGAAGTTACTTAGGGAAAAGTCATGTAACTAATGAATGACAGGGATGGATCATTCCAAGTTTGGTTTCTTCTTGTCCCCAGAAACCAATCTTCCCATTGCAACACATCTAGGAGGAGATAATGAGATAAAGTAAAGCAATAGAAGAAGGTGGTGGTCATAGTTCCCAGTGGACTCACTGCAAGCTGAGCCTCAGGGCCCTAGCTTCATGGTATCCGTCAGGGCTGTGATGCTCTTGCCAGTGGTGTCATCTTCTGGGCTATGAGTTAGAAAGGTAATCTTTGGGGGGTGGTTGTAAAATTGCTAATTAACATTGAGAAATTTGATAATTCAAAAGAGAACAGAACTTCAAGAATGGAAAGAGTTGAAAGCTTGAAAGTAGAATAAAAGGATATAAAATGTATTGTGCACAACAAAGGGAAGTGGGTTTTTAGTGCAGGTCACTAGATAACAGTGGTTAGTACATACATCTTGTTCATAGCAAAGAGAGAACAGATACGTGTTTGGTAAGCTTTCAGTATTTAGCTCTGTCCTGGACTTTTCACTGAACAAAATAGAAAAAATCATTTTCCCAAGTCCAGCCAAACAACAGCCAGGAAGATGGGTGACTCTTAATTGCAATAGGTCATTGCGTTTTCTCTCCCAGAGCGTGTGATTCTTCAGTGTAGAGGATCTGCAAGCACCACCAACGCTTCATTTGGAATCATCCACATTTGCCTGCATGCTGTTTCTATGTACTGTATGAGCAGTCTCTTGTCTTGATGTCAGAATGAACTGTTAATGTTGAAGATGTGTCTGTCCCTTCTTTTACTCCATTGAAACATTCCCAGGGACATGTCAGCCATCTGGAAGGAGTGGCTGTAATTCTGAAACCAGCACCCAGTTCAAAAGCAATTTGTTTTATTTTTGTTGAGACACTATACTATGTTACCGAGGCTAGCCTTGGATCCCAGGCACAAAAAAATGATCCTTCCTGCCTGGGGCCCTTGAGTAGCTGGAATCACAGGTGTGTGCCTCCACCCAGCTTTCTAATAGGATTCTCTAACTGTGGAATCATTTCTGTCACCTCCTGCATTGTCTCATTGCATTGGTCAGTGGTTCTCTGAGGGTAATGCATGACTGTATGTAGCACCTCAGTGTTTTTGCAGGGGTTAATTTTGGGGAAAATCTTCACTAATATGGAAGACTGTGGTTCATCATGTTAATTTTAAATGTTCTTTTACTTTTTAAGCAAAGTTAAACCACCTCCACAAATTTCACCAAGCAAATCGATGGGTGGCGAGTTTTGCGTTGCTGCAGTGTTTGGGACTTCCAGGTCGTGGTTTGCAAACAATGCAGGTCTGAAACGAGAAAAAGGTATGTGGTTTGCTGACGCTTGGGTTTGCCTTGCTGCATTTACCTCTTAGGTTATGGGGAAACTGGCTCTCCTAGATAATTTTATAAGTAATAGCTATCATGTCTGGCCTTAACTAACCAAGTCTCTCCGAGAATCAAAACTATTTTCTCACGCTAGTGGAAAATGAATTTACCATTCACTCATGTTTTTATTTATTTTCAAGATCAGGTCTCTATATGTAATCCTGGCTGTATTTAACATGTAGGCCAGGCTAGCCTCGGACTCACAGAAATTGCCATCCTCTGCCTCTCTAATGCTGGAACCTCCTCTAATGCGTCACCTCACCTGGCCTGGTTGACTTAATTTTTTTTTGTAAATAACATTGCACATTTGATCAAAACTGTCTGTTTTGTACCCACTCTGTAACTTTCAGGTTTTGCACAAGTTAATTTCATACTATTGTCTCGGAAGTAGGAAGGAGAAAATTTTGTAAGTTAGGGATTGACTAATCTCACCAGTGTTAGTTAATGTTAGATGCTTGTGCTTCTGTGTGGGGCCTGTGTGCATGTGAATGCATTTGCCTGCAGAGGATGGCCGGTGCCCTGGAGCTGAAGTTACAGGTGGTTGTGAGCAGCAGGGTTTGTGCTTGGGGGTGAATTTAACCCTCTGCAAGAGCAGCAAGTGCTCCTAACTGCTGAGCCAGCTCTGTGGCTTCTACCACATTTTTTTTTAAAGCAAAACCTCAGAATCCCCAAGGCCTCAAATAAAACAAAAATGTCAGACTGTTACTGGGAAATAAGTGTCATGTTTTGTGGTTATCGTTGTTCCTTTGAGTTGGTGAGATTACCATGTTTTTGTTTTTTATTTTTTAAAGTGTTTCTTCAAAATTTAAATGTATGAATGTTTTACCTGCATGTGTATATGTACACCAAGTGTATGATGGGTATTAATGGAAGTTAAAAGGGCCTTCAGACCCTCTAGAGCTTGAGTTACCTGTGGTGAACCTCATGTGGGTGCTCCATTGCTCTTAACCGCTAAGCCATCTCTCCATCCCCAGTTGCTATGTTTTTAGGCTCTACTTTGAACACCAGGATCAACACCTAGAATGTTTGTGTGATTATTGTGTTAGGATGTGATTTGTTATCATGTATATATATATATTTTTTTCTAGTTATAGGGCTTGAACCTAAGACCTTCCCTGTGGTCTCTCTGTAGAAGAGAACGTTTACATATATATACCAAGTAAACAGTTTTGAATGTTATGATTTTCACTGATTACTTTACTATGATTCAATTAGGTCACACACTGGCTTGCCCCAGGCTAGTTCCACAGTTGGTTTTGTTCTTGGCAAAAATGGCTCTCCTCCCTGCTCACTGTTGGCAGGCAGATGCCAGCCATTTCCCTTGCTATCACCTTTCATTGACCACTCCCTTGTAACAGGATCTTAGCTCAGCAGGTGCCTTCCCGGTTAGGAAGGGTACTGTAGAGGAGGCAAGCCTCCCATTTTCTTATCCTATCTTTATTTTTTTTCTTTTTCTGTTACTGCCTTTGGTTTAATGATGCTATCGGATGGACTTTTTGTTACTCGTTAAAACCTGTGAAGCTCGATTTCAAATGCTTCTCTCTTCTGTCCTAATTACCCCTTTTGCTTGCTACTCCTTTATGTCCCACTGACTGGTGATTGGCTACTTTTTCAAATCAGCTGTAATTGATTCATCTTACACAGAGATAAGATAACCCACACAGCGTCCATAAGCAATCTTATGTCCTCCTCTGCTTACTGTAAAACATGAGATTCAGCACCAAACCTGCTCGGGCAGTGTATACATGTGCATGTCCTATAAAGTCATTTGATTACATGCACACCCAGCACTAATTTTTCTATGGATAGCTGGTCTTCCTTTACTTCAGTATCCAGTAATCCCATTGAGAAATAGACTAAGAACTAGTTTGAGGAGGGTCTTTACTTTTTTTTTTCCTTATTGTTTCTGGTTCACAGGCAAATTGACAATGAATTTCTGTCTGTTCCTTGGCCCATTGTGCTTAGCCTGTGTTGTGAGAGTGCTGTATTTATTTCTGCTGATGGCCTTGCACAGATAAAAGATGTGTTTTTAAGTTCCCAATCTGTCTCTGTCTCTGTCTCTCTCTGAATCTCTGTCTCTCTGTCTCTGTCTCTGTCTCTGTCTCTGTTTCTCTCTCTCTGTGTGTGTGTGTGTGTGTGTGTGTGTGTGTGTGTGTGTGTGTGTGTGTGTGTGTGTGTAGAAGCCAGAAATAGTTGTTGGGTGTCCTGCTCTATTATTTCTGCCTTGTTTGGTTGACTCAGGGTCAGGGTGACCCCAATGATCCTCCCTCTCCACCCCTTTTCGGCACAGAGATTATAGGTTATTTTTGATTATGCCCAATCTTGGTATTTGTTTTTCTTTTCGGGGGGTGAATTTCTTTGTTTGTTTTTTGGTGGGTTGTGGGGTTTGAGTTCAATCTCTTGTGTTTGGTCTTTTGAGCCATCTCCCACCTGCTAAATTTTAGTCTTCTAAGAAAACTAGAACTGTTAGGATGACTTAGCTCCACACCTAGCTTTTCGTGTAGGTCAGTTGTTCAAGCCAGTGCAATTAAATTTTATTGCATAGATTATTCCTTTTCAGGTAGTCCTTCCATTCCTACTATGCCATTTATTTTCCATAATATGTGGGATAATGGGTAATATAGAAATTCTAATTTTTATAACATAGTGTTTAACTACATTACTCTTTTGAACATAATGGTATATTCTTGAAACAGATTGATTTGTATTTGAAAATGTGGTGGTGTGTTTGTTGGCATTTGCTGATGCAAGGAACCTTCGGGGGATGTGTGGATGCCATGGAACAGAGCTCTTCTTACTTCTTTTGGCAGCTCCAGATGTAAATAATGTAAAATTCTTGCTGTGGTCTTTCTCTACTACCATTACATGTCTCCTGATTATCTGTTTGCAGATCAGTCCAAACAAGTCGTAGTTGAATCCCTTTACATCATCAGTTGCTACGGGACCTTAGTGGAACACATGATTGAGCCCCGACCGCTCAGTACTGCTCCCAAGATAAGTGACGATACACCACTGGAGATGATGACGTCACCCCGTGCCAGCTGGACACTTGTTAGGTAGTCCTCCCTGCCTCATTCTCACCACCTGAAAGATTAAAAAGTTACCCTTTGTGAAATCTCAGCATATATGCTTGGGAATTGTATGCACTCACAGTGATGTGTTTACTTGTATATATAATTTCCCTTCTTGCTCTTTTCACTAGAGTCTTGTACAAATGACTTTCTTTAATCTGGGAAGACTTCAGTCCATTTCTTTTTTATTGACCATGGTCTACATGCATGAAATGTAAGCATTGCAAGTCATGTGTGTACCCTTCTGCAATGACTTTTCTTTATCAGGTAAAGGAATCCTGCGTCATTTCCTCTTTAGCTCTACACAAACACCATCGGTTTACTTTGTATTGCCTGCTTCTGCCTACTCATGGTCGCTAAATGATGGAATCACATTAATATGTTCTCTTTTGTGTCTGATTTCTGTCAGCATATTTTGAAGCTCTTCATTAATGAAATGTATGATCCTTTCATTCCTTTCAATAGCCATTTTATATTCTATTATATAGGCATACCACTTTTGTTTATTCATTCAGTCACCGGGGGCCATTTTTACTCTATAACTGTTACTAATATTTTTGCTGTAAATATTCACATGCAGAATTGTATGTGATGGTATTTTGCACTGAGAGTACTTCTGTTTGAACTTTTTATGTTTTTGATCGTGAGCCTAGCCTGTAATGGCTGAAACATCTCTCCAGTCTTTGTGAACTTTTGGCTCTTTGTTTGTGTATCCCTTTCTTGGTCTTGTGTTTCTCTTATTCCAGTCTCTCATACTCTTTGAATAGAATGCCATTAAGGGAAATACAAACTAATACAAAGAGATCCTAAGGTCTCCTTTAAAGTGATCATCTAGGATACAATGGTTAGGCAGGCACTCTAGAAATATTTAAGAATCATCTCAACTCATGTAATGAGTAGAATTTTTATAAGCTTGCACAAAGAGGAAGAATTGAAACCTGGAATAAAACCCACTTAATATAGTGAATTTTGCAAGGGAGAAAAACAATCACCCGGCATGTTGAAAGGAAACAGATAAAAATGGATATGAAAATGACCCCTCTCCTTTTGACATTTAAAAATATTCTATTGATTTTTTTTTCATGTGACTCCAGCATTCTTTACCAGTACTCACTGTGCTGGATTGATCTGATCAATATCTGATTTATCAAGCTTATTTAAAATTCGGCAGATCTAATGAAACTTACTGCAGTCACGCTATTGAAATAGCTAATTCAATGCAAAGTAAGTTGTCCATTTACACAGCTGCTTTTTTAAATCACTTTTACTTTGTATCCTGTTGAAGATGTCTAACACTGGTGTAAAATGAGATAAAAAGGCCTCTCTGTAGTTGGCATTTGGCTACTGCTGGTCCTCTCTTTTCTGTCTCTCTTATCTAGCTGATTATAGTCTAGTTCTGATAGGTAATGTTGGCTTCATGTTATCTGTGTGGCACATTGCCACCTTTGTAGTTTTTAAAGTTCCTAGCCTTGTATGTCAAGTTAAAGAGCATCGATCTTAATGATTACACGTTCATTTTAATGTTCAGAAGTCATGAGAGACTCTATCAGGGTCTGTGGGTGATTCACATCCTATCTATGGAGCTTAAATATGAATATTCTCCTGCTGTTTCCTTAGAACACCTCAGTGGAATGAGCTGCAGCCACCCTTTAACGCCAATCACCCGCTGCTCCTGGCGGCAGAAGCGGTGCACTATTACCAGCTCCTGCTTGCTGGCTGTAAGTACTTCTCACTTGTTTACTTTTTCTTTGGTTGTATGATCTTTTCTGAATTCGATGACATTCAAAAGCATATTTGCATTTGTTCAGTCTGTGGACCATAGTTCTTAAGCCAACAAAGGAGTGTGTATCTTCAGCTGGCGTTTCCCTTCGCATGAACTGTCACTGTGCAAAAGGTTTTGGGGGACCTATAACATGTGACCTAGCAGGATATGGGGAACAGCTTCACAGAGCCTGGGGCCTGTTCCTAAAAGAATCAAAACAAACACTCCATTCCAGGACGCCGCATTGTAGCTTCTGCCTGTTGTGTAGCTTTATTTGGACTCCTTGACGGTCGCAGCTTCATTGGCTTTTGTTTGTGTTTGATCAGACCAGGGCCTTGCACACGCTAGGGCTGGCCGCGTGCTCCTCATCTAAGCTGCTTTGCTTGTGTTTCTGCTGCCATTTGTAGATACTGATGGGGGTTCATCCAACCAGATACTTTTATTTTTAATATGGGAGGCATGAAGAGACAATTTAATATTTATTACCCAGCTTGTCTTCATAGAATTAAAAATGTTGTGCAATTATAATTCAATTGTGTAGAATATACTGAATCCTAATTGAACCTGACTTCTCTGGGTACTGCATGCTTTCAAAAACTTCTTAAAAATCAACAATGACATGTTTTTGATGGTAGTTGTTGTGCTCCATGTAGTATCTTGCTTAGGAATTGTGGAGCTTGAGTTAAAATAGTTGTAGAACTGTGCTATTTCATTTTATAATGTGTTACATATTATTCTGAAATCAGGAAAAATTTGTAGGCTTTGCTCTACAGTTATGAAATGCCATAACTAATAAATAGTTGGCAGTCTTATTCTTGTATATTTGAATCTTGACATTTTTTTAAATCATATATTTTATTTGCCAAGTGCCTACTATGTGTCAGGCATGTACAGTGTCACATGTACTAGGGTAGTCACCTAGTGCTTCTAGCCCCAAGCTATTCATTGTTCAACTGGAGAGACACATTAAAGTGAAAAACAATGCAGTAAGTTTCTCAGTGGAGAATCACGCCTTCAGAACTGTGCTCTCAACATGTCCTGAAGGCGTGGTCATGTCCATGGCAGCATGGTGGAGGCAGGGATATGCGGACAAGCATACCTGGAATTGTCATTTTCTAGTTTTTAAAATCATATTGTTAGATGGTGTAGTACAGACATGGCACATATGATTTCAAGGAAAACAGAATTTTTTATTACTTCTTTTTTGTTTTTAGAGAGGGTTTTTCTGTGTAGCTTTGTAGTCTGTCCTGGAACTTGCTCTGTAGACCAGGCTGGCCTCGAACTCTGAGAGATTTGCTGCCTCTGCCTCCCGAATGCTGGGATTAAAGTTGTGCACAATCACTGCTCTGCATTACTTCTCCATAAAACCCTAATTATTGAGTTAAGTGTTGTTGACCCAGCTAATCCAGGGTTCATGTTTTGTTTTGTTTTGTTACCTGTTAGCTCTGGTTGACTGGCAGACAGTGATAAATCTAAGAAGATAAAGAAAAGTTAAAAACCACACTACATGTTCATGCTGCTCATAAGCTGGTTGAGACCATTTGACTTCAGCTGCCCTAGCACTTTTGTCCAGTTTAACGAAACCCATCACTGCCACTGATAGCACCCATCAGGTGCTTTCATGCATGGAATTAACACCATCAAACTGTTGTGTGTTTTGGAGGTTGAACCTAGGGCCTTTCACATAATAGGGAAGTGCTCTTCTTAGTCTCCGTCCAGCACCACTGGATGGCAGTTTTAGAAACCTCACTCCTCTAGCAACTTTGCAGCAGGATACTTAGGAGAAAGGGTTGAGCAAATAGTCCTGAAGCAAGGTGAGAGCTTCACTGCACAGGCCTGTGAGATGCTGCTGGCTGGCTTGGCTCAAGCACCTTTGCCGCTAGGCCATCTGTTGGGCTTCTATCGCCTCTTTATATGGATCGGAATGATGCAGATGGTCCTGGCTTTTACAGGTTTGCACACATACACTCAAGGACCTGCCAGAGTGTCACATAACTGAAGCTCCACAATGCAGACATTTGGAAATACATTGCAATAGGGGCAGTACTGGTATCAGTACTTTACTTCCCCTCTGTAACAATCTTTGTCTGTGAGTCCCCTCACAGAAGCCATTTGGAAAGATACTCTACCTCATACAACACAACTTTACTGTTTTGGCTCTGTTTATGCATTTGTCTTGTTTTACTGAGCTAGGGGCCTCCATGATATGTGTCTTCAATGTGCTGGGCTCTGTGATTGGCTCCCAGCAATTACAGGGGGGAAATTAACCTTAATTTTTCAACTTAAAGACCCCTCACATCATCATAACAGATACACTGTGCTCAGTAAACAGTCTGTTCCACATCATAGCAAGGACATAGCTGAGGAAAGAAAATAGAGACCTGCCTGGCATACTGATGACTTCTTAATCCACCTTTAAGACAAAGCAAGCAAAGCCTCCAAATTCTGTTTTCCTCACCTTTGTAGCTTATCCCTTCTGTATTCAGGAGAATGCCTCTGTGTGCATGGTAGACAGGATCATGTTCCAATAGTTCATTCAGACGTCATGGTGCAGGTTGAGATAACATCAAAGTAAGTAGTTTCGTCAAAACCACTCAAGATTGCCATTTTTAGTAATTTTTAAAAAGGATAATACATGATGAATTTATATGTGCAGATGGTAATTTTAGTATTTAGGTCCGTAGTGAGAAAAGTCAAGTTTTTCGATACATGGTTTCTCTGTGTAGCTTTGGAACCTATCCTGGCACTCACTCTGTAGACCAGGCTGGCCTAGAACTCACAGAGATCCACCTGCCTCTACCTCCCAAGTGCTGGGATTAAAGGTGTGCGCCACCAACACCTGGGCCAAGAATATTTATATTCTTTTGAACATGAAATTATTGGTGAAATGTTTATTAATATGATCATAGAGCTGAAGAGATCAGTGGTTAGAAGCACTTAGTGCTCTTCTAAAGGACCTGAGTTTAATTCCCAGTACCCACATTAGGCAGTTCATAAATGACTGTAACTCCAGCACATGCTCGTGCGCGCGCGCACACACACACACACACACACACACACACACCTCCCTAAATAAAAATGAATAAATTTATAAAATAAAATTTCTGTTGATGGTATGGATTTATTGTTTATATTATGTTTTTCTTTAAAAATTAAACTGGGTGGTGGTGGCACACACCTTTAATCCAGAATTTGGGAGTCGGAGGCAGGTGGATCTCTGTGTGGTCGAGGCTATCCTGGTCTACAGAGTGAGTTCCAGAACAGCCAGGACTACACAGAGAAACCCTGTTTTGAAAAAAAATAAATAAACTCATTTCATTGCAGTTTATTTCTTTGCCAACACTGAAACTAACCATTACAGTAGACAGAAGACCAATCAGCTTTGAGTACCACTCGAAAGGACACAGTAACTCTTTCTTTAGTCTGATCTGGACCTTCCAAAATGTAAATTTAAATCAGGGCCTAACCCCATTAGACCTGTGAAAGCTTACTTAAAGGACAAATAGTATATAAAAAATCTACTCATCCACAGCAGGACTGTTTGGTTGCTTTTGGGTAGTAGGTGTCAGACTTCGAACCGCTTTCTAGAAAATCCAGGCATGTGAGACCATGTGAGCCCATACAACAATGAAAACACCATAAAGATTATAAAGTATTTAAGCCAAGTGAAATTGAAACCAGGGCATGTCATTATGTTAGAATTTTGTATCTCTTTTAAGCAAATGGTTTAGTTGTTAGCACATGCTACTGCTCGATACTGCTCATGGAACTTATGTCAAAGAGGGAAAAATGTAACCTCAACAGTTTGCATAGTTTATAGTTGTATTAATGTGTCATTTCTAAAATTTCACTATCAGATAGATGGCAGATAAATGCTGGGCTTGCTTGTGCTTCCGTTTGTTTGGTTTTGATTTTTGGGATTTTTGTTTTGTTTCTCTCTGTAGCCCTTCTTGGAACTCACTCTGTAGACCAGGCTTTCCTCAAACTCACAGAGATCTGCCTGCCTCTGCCTCCCAAATCCTGGAATTAAAGGCGTGCGCCACCACCTCCAGGCTTTTTAGCTGGAGCTTTGCATGGGGTGGGAGGAAGAAGACTATCTCTGGAAGCTTGGTGCAAGCTAAGTGTTCATTTTGGTAGGATAGTTTCATATCTTTTTAAAGCAGTGTGTGTGTTCACATTCATGTATGCTCCTGGATAGGTCAGAAGAAGTTGTTGGATGCCCTGTCATTGATGTTGCAGGTGTGCGAGTCACCAGATGCGGGTCACCATCAAGCCATTTCTCCAGTACCCAAATGAGAAGCAAATTGAGAAGACCCTTTGTGCAAGTTGAATGTGTTTTGCTGTGATAAATATGATCATAGTCAACTTAGAGAATGAACAGTTTTACAGCATCTCAAAGATTGTAGCCCACCATTGAGAGACACCAACGCAGGAAGCACTGCTTACTGACTTTTTCAGCTGTATTTTTTTATATACTGCCCATGTCCCCTGCATCAATTAGTAGTCAAGAAAATATCCTGTCTGCAGGCCAGTCTGAAGGAGGCAATTTCCTCCATTGTGGTTCCCACTTCTAGCTTTGTCAGTGTGATGACCAAGTCTAACCTTTGTCAGCTTGATGAATCTGATACACACAGATACATATATCCCTATCAAATCATAACCTTTCCTTTCTTTTTGATCCCCAAGAGCTCACATTGAATCAAAATATATAGTGTGGTTCAATTTTAAAAGTGGTCCCATAGTCTTTAAGAATTTCAATGCTTTAAAAGGAGTTCTACTTGCAATATCCATAGTCTCTTAATGAGCTCTTGTAAAATTAAAAAAAATAAGTTACATAGTTTCTTATCTAAAAAGCAAAGAATAGGAGCACAGTTATAATCAAATCAAAGCAAAACCAAAATCCAACAGTGTAAAAGGCACCATGTCCAATACCTGGGACTCCCCTCACGGTCTTCC